CCCCCCCCCCCCCGACCCCAAACTTGGCAAGACCCAGGACCCAGGCGCCAGTATAAAACAGAATAGTGACTATTGTTAGCTGACAGTTATAGCAAACCTGTACGTGCTGGAGTCCTTACATGCATGCCTATTTAATCTTAACTCTGAGGAGGCTGCTATTATTATTGAGCCTATGGTAATGATGAGGAAACTGGTTCAGACAGGGGCCCAAGACAACAAGAAGCAAGGATTTAAACCCGGATCTTTTAGAAGTAAACTCATTCTCTTTACCTCTCAGTAAATCTGGGTGCTTGCAGGGTACGGTGGACGTGGGGGTATTCTGAAAAGGGATGTGGCATCAGGCTCTTTAATCCTTGAGTGTGAGACGTCTGCGGATGGTGCAGAAATACCTGCGGCTCCCTCCCCCACCACGCACCTTTTCATAGGGTGGGCAGACATTGTCATTAGTGGTTTTCTCTCCTCTTTGACTTTCCCCTTGAAAATATGTCTTTAGGATCTGATGTTTGAAACTTAATCAAATCTAGGTGTAGTTGACACTGGTAATGGCTTAACTTATTAATTCTCCAAAAGGTTGTTTTTTGTCTTGTTTTGGTTTGGGTTTTGGTTTTTGCATAGGAATAAATAGCTTAATGAGGGATTCACAGTTTTGATGATGGAATTTAAACAAGGAGGTGTAGAGACAATCTCATATATGAATCATTTCTATACACTTGCCTTAAAATCACAGGGAACTTGTACTTTGTAATTCGATAACTAGGCCTCTTCCCCCCTCATTCTTTCCTGGAGAGGAGCCCACTAATTTTGCATCACAGCCTAAAACCTGCAATTTCCATCTGGGGAAAATGGGCTTTTACCTTACCACCTCTCTCCTGACCTCTCCATTACCTCACCTCCTAACCAAATCCAATGAGTTTTGCCCTGTTACATATTGAAGTAACAATCCATCTACGATGCGGCACTTCTGCCTGATGAGTCTCATGGTGCAACACCTGTCTAGAGTAAACCCTCTTTTCTTGCTTTGGATCCGTGTCTAGCCCACCCTTCAAGACCTAGATCCAAACCTTCCCTGATGCTATCTATGGGCCACAATGACCTTTCCTTTCTCTAAATTTGTATGTGACCAACACGTAAAGCCTACATGACGTAAGCTAGTGCATTCCATCTCTTGTCCTCAGTCATTTCATGTGTGTCAGTAAATATGACTGTAGGTATTGTCTTTCCACTTGAAAGGTAAATATTCAGGGATGACATCTTCTATATTTCTGGTTTTCTCACCATAACCAGCACATTAATGTGCTTGCCAGCCTTTAAGGAAACTTCCTTGTCTTTATTTACTATTTCACGTTTCCCAAACACTGTCCTGTCTTGATTTCGTCACACTGCGCTGTACTTCTGCCAACATTTGTTACTCATTTTGCATTTTAAACCCCCAGTAAGTCCTTCTCTTTCCACACTCTGACACTTATCAGGCTTCCCAACTCTCTGCCGCTCCACTCCAGTGCTCAGTGTCAAACACCGAAGATTCTCAATGATTATTTATTCATGTAAAGGGTCCGCAATACAGACGAGAGCAACCTGTTGTACTAAATTATTGTATTCTAACCTGACAAACCTGGGATAGAAATTATTGGCATCAGCCCTAATTTTCAGATGAAAATCTTAAAGCTCCAAGTGGTTAACTAACTGTTCATATCTGGTAAGTGAAAGATCTCAGATTTAAAGCCAAACTTGCTTGGCTAAAAATAATTGTTTTTCTACATCATGCTGCCTCCAGGAAGTCTTCCGGGATTAACAAGAATTCTACCCTTGGGGTACCATTTTAGAGTTCCCATATTTTTCCTTTTTTTTCTTTTTATTTTTCCATAATTTTCTAGCATTAATTTGATATTAACATATGAACATATGTCATTAGCTAATATGTATGTGTACGTACTTCTTCAGGTAAACTATAAATTTGCCAAGAGGAGAAATGATATGCTATCTTTTTATAGCCCCCCTGTCTAGCATGGTGGCCTGTATGTGAGATATTCAATAAATATTTGTCAATAATTTGATTATCTGAGTCTTACAAAACCGTGAACAAACATTATGTTTCCTCTCTAAAATGGAGTAAAAATGCCTATAACTTTACCTCAGAATTGTGTGTAAAGATTAAGGCTTTCTATTTTATCACGGCCTAGCCACGGCCCAGAGATCTCTGTCCATCAGAGAAGAAACATATGTCTAGGAGAGTGAGTGAGTTTACAATAATGATAAGGGATTATTCCAAATAGTGTCTTAACATTTTCAATACACTACTAATTCTAATTCCCTTGAAACAGAAAACAAAAATTATTTATTGAAGCCATGTGTTGAGAATTGGTCAAAACTCAAGTAAGAGTTAAGGTTTAAAAAAACCTGACAATTAAGTGTTTTTGTTTTATTACAATATGTTTTGTTTTTTATCCATAGAGGACTGATGCTAGAATGATTATACAAGTAAAATCATGTGACCGTTTTTATATGTGTAAGAATTTTTTAAATTCTAAAAACAATTTAGTAATAACTGTACCGTCAGGTAAGGAAAGAATAAACTTCTGGTCATTTTACTTTAATCAAAGTATAATATAATTTAGGAAAAAGCACAACTTAGTAAATTTTCACAAACTGAGCACATGTGTAACCGGCACCCAGACCAAAGAACAAAATATTGTCAGCATCCCATAAGTCTCCCTCTTGCTTACTTGGGTAGTTTTCAATTTTTGCGTATTGTAAATATTGCTTTTGTAGATATTAAAGTATACATATTTTGGTAAACACGTATATGCCTTTCTGTTGGGAATTCTTAGGAATGATATTGTTTTTGGTTTTGTTTTTCCAGAACAGTTTAGGCAGACTTTAATAGGCAAAAAAGGGTTGCTTTGGCAATGTATAGAAGGATAATTGTTATAGTAAAAATCATTATTTAATCTTCTTTCATTAAATATTAAAATACAATAAGGCAACTACTGTTTCAAGACACTTGAAACTGCATTTAATAAACGTATAACTGACCCCGCATCTGACATATTGCACTCCTAATTTTTTTCTCTATTTACTTTAAGGAACTAAAAAAGTTACTTTAAAAAAACAGATCAGTGGTCTTTC